ATAGACCGCCCGCAGGGGCGTGCTGGGTGTTTTTATATATATATATATATCTATCTATATATATATAGATAGATATATATAGATAGATATATATCTATCTATATATATCTATATATATATATCTATATATATAGATATATATATATAGATATATATATATAGATATATATATATATATATATATATATCTATATATGTAGCGACGAAGCGCGACGAAGCGTATACCGTCCCATTTCACGAGCCTCTCACTTCCGCACTTCTCGTACTTATAGTACGCACCGTACGTAGTACGCGTAGTGCGCGTACTTCAAGCATGCAGACCCTGAATTGGGACACAGCCACTGATCAGAGATCAAATGGTCACATGACCAAGAGAAGCATTTAGACTGCAGTGATTGGTTACTGTTCCCACACATCAATAACCCACAGCGCCCTCCAGTAGTGGAAACACAGATAATACATGTGGAGAAACATGAAGGAGACTCACAGCAGAGGCAGACGCTCCGTCTCAGACAGCCGTCACCTCCACAGCTCCACAGGTCTGCTCCCCGACCTCCTACATGACACAAAGCACACATCAGCACAGGAGGAGCTCCTCATCAACTTCAGAGAAAACAACAAATGAATTCAAAACTCCTAATACTGAAAACTGTGGAGTCATTGTAATATGCATTTACACTGTAAAGAGACCAGAACGTTATCTGAAAGTGGCGCATCTTGGTCACAAATAGTAACTAGTAAGCAGAACTTTGTTAGCATGGTCTGTGAAGGTCTTAGTCATCCAGGTCATCGTAGTCAAAGGAGCTTGGAAAGAAAAGTGTCTGGACTTCTTTAAGTTGCTTGAAGACGTTTCACCTCTCATCCGAGAAGCTTCTTCAGTTCTTTTTTTTTTTTTTTTTTTTTCTTTTGCCTGTCCCGTTTGGCTCTTTTGCATCAGAATTGTTGTCTAAAGGCAAAGAAAGATGCCCAACGGATTTACTTACCAAACTGACCATCCCACCTGCCGTAATGGTCCATTTGATTCACCTTTATTGTTTATTTTATTTCACTTACTGAATACGGGACAGACTTGACTGGGGAAAGAAGGGGAGAAAGAAAGAGGGAAAGAGAAACAGCTGAGAAGAGGGACGGGGGAGAAGGGCAAAAGACAAAACCAACAGAACGGCAGAGAAAAAATGCATATATCAATCACCTGGATCACCTGCTAGAAAGAAAAAAGAAAGCAAGCAGAAGAGAACAAGAGTAATAGAATAAACAACATCACAATGATCTATGATAATATGACAGTAAATACTAAATATTAAACATTATTGTGCAGCACATAAGATCAACAGAACACAGTGTGCTTTGAGGTAGGAGCCAAAAGGGGTAGTTTGTGGGCGTGATCACCCGTGTGTACACCTGTGAGCATGGACGCGCTTGTTTTTTGTTTTTTTAAAAGGTTCCTTCATGTAAAATCTGCTAGAGGGTGGGGGCCACAGCCCCATCCTCCAGGGCGTGAAGCAGGTGTGGAGCTTCTTCAGTTCTAAAGGGTCAAATGGTGGGGAGTCCCAGGTTTAAGCTCTGTGGGAGTTCCCCCCAAAGAGGGACAAAGGACCCCCTGATGATCCTCTACCTAATCACAGCCAAGGTCTGAAAACAGGTGTGGCGTTAAGCGTCTGGGAAGGATCTCAAACTGGATTATAGATGGCAGAGAGTGGTGTCGTAAACCCCGCCTCTGTTCAAAGATGGTCGCTCACAGTGGACATAGATGCTTCTTTCACTCCTCTTTCCAAACATCTGTCCTCTCTGTCCAAAATGTGAACATTGGCATCCTCAAAGAGTGACCTTTGACCTTTAGATGCAGATGAACTGCTGAGTCTTGTCCTGTGGAGGTGACTCTTCTATGTTGTGCGCTTGTGAAGTGGCTGTTTGGTCTCTCCAATGTAGAGGTCTGGGCATTCCTCGCTGCACTGTACAGCAAACACCACATTGTTAAGTTTGTGTTTTGGAGTTTTGCTTTTGTTATTTGAGTGACTGAATCAGGAACTCTGCCTGCTTTTGTTCTCACACTGGGTTTAATGAAAGAAGATTTCTGTTTGTCCATTAAAGTTCTTTGTTGTGATCTTTTAAGGATCCTGTGATGATCCAGAGCCTGGCTTGTCTCAAGGAGTCTCTCAGTGACCTGAGCATCAGCTACAGCTCTGCTGGCCTCTGTGTTCACTCTGCAGGAGACGTGGAGACCCGAGCTCACCTTCTGCAGCACTTGCAGTGAGGGAAGGTGAATCATCCTTTAGCAGGACATCATTCAGGCTTTATTAGCATCACTGTGACTGTTATTGTTAGGTTTAATGTATGTGTTGTAGGTCGCCATTTAAAAAGCTAGAATGCTTCTGTTTGCTAGCTTCTAGTTCATGTTCTTATACATGTAATACATTTATTACCAACATTAGAGTTTATCCGCTGGTCATTCGACATGACGAATGACTTCTAAAGTCTTAATCCAGCTCAGGATGCTGTAGAGTCCCGTCAGTAACACTTTTGGTCTGCTAGTAAAATGTAGTTCTATTAATCTGCGCTCGATTACTCTTGAACCGGAACCGGATGTGAGTCCCAAAAAGCTGAATTTTGGAACAGAAGTTGAATTCTAAAACTGAAACTAAATTGTTGTTAAAATCCTTTTGTAGAGGATAAAATACAGTTTCAAAGAAAATGAATTGATTTTCAACATATAAAATTCAATTTCAATTTAGTGACGATCATTTTCAAACCAATACATACATACAGTCTCAGGTGCTGTCTGATGGGTATGGAGCTGCAGTCAGCAACAGTAATGGCCTTAAGTTGTTGGGTCAAGGATCGTCCAGTGTCTTGATGGAGATCTAACTGGATCCTCCAGCTCAGAGCTGGTGACTTTTTTCTTGGGTTTTCCACTTGGCTTTTTTGTTCCACAACTCTCAGGATCATTTAAGAAATTTCAGATGACCGTCTTACTGCGTCCCACCTCAGCAAAGATGTCGCACTGTGAGAGACCCTTCTTATGCAGTTCAACACCCCGACCACTTTCAAAAAGGGTCTTAATCACAGAACATGTCATATAAACTGAACAGTTGCAGTGTTTCCTGATTTCCAGTTTAGTTTTTAGCTTTAGTTGGAATATTCCTCCTCTGCCAGGCAGCCTCAGGCTGAGATTCACCCTGTCACATGTTTTTTGGGTTTTTTGCACGAATGCATGGTTCCATCTCTCAGACTCATGCAGTCCCAAATCATCACACCCTGCTTCACTGTCAGGATTCTGCATGTGACACTCTCGGACAGGTTCAATTCTATTATGCTATTATGCTGGAACTTTTCTAAGACAATCAAATTTGGACTCCAGTTTGCTCCAATTATTCATCAGACTTCTTTAGGAACGTTTCAGTCTGCATTTTTGTCCTAAAGAGCAAACAACGTTTTTATTTCGTGGACACTGTCCTTCACTCTGAGGGACGTTCATTTTCACTGACAGCCCCTGGATGGTCTGGATCCCTGCTGTGTGTGGATTCATGTTAAAATATCACCACGACTCTGATTTCTGATGCAGCTGCTTTTATTTGGTCAGATTTTCCATCATGTCACAGTCTGACGTTTTAATTTATCTCTTAATTATTTTTCATGTGACTCACTAATGCAGAAAAGCCCTGAATTTCAGTATGAGTGTCTAGTGTTTATTTTGGACTGTGCTCATGATATCAGGCTAACACAGGAGTACCCAGTTTAGTTTCATTTTGTGTTTCTACTTTTCTTTTCAATATAGGCCGTGTTAAGCTGTTCTTGAATGTTCATGAGAAAAAAAGCCTCAAGCTGTGAACTCAGTGATGATGAAATTACTGTGATGTTGTGAAGGATTTGACATGTAGCTGATATCAGTACAGAAGTGTACTCACTTCTGTTCCTGAGCCCAGAGCCTCATGTCAGAGATAAAGATCACAGATGCAGGAACAAACTGCAAGTCTCAGTGGGCGGAGTCAGAACTCCCCATTGTTCATTCTCTTAACTCGTTCCTCTGAGCACGTTCAAACTTCTATCCACTTTGTTTTTCTTGAAGGTGGAGGTTTGAATCCAGGAGTTCATTCTGAGCTGCTGTAGTTGTCATGCTCATCAGCTTCCCAGTGAACCTTTTTAACCTGTGAGGGTTTCATGGTCTGTTTTCTAAAGAGTTAATTTGTTCTACTCAAACGAGGAAGTGCTTGGAGACGATGTGGTCAGTGTGTCAGTAGAAACTAAAAGAAGAAGAGCCTGTTTCTTTGATTTACACCGCTCAGTCTTCATAGAAGGTACAGTCGCATTTTCTTTTCAGTTTCATTTTTGCTTTTTTGTATATTGAACTCTGATAATGATAAATGAGGATTATAGTAACTTTACACTGTGCTAATATTAGCTCTGCTTGTATGTTGCAGTCATGGCTGCGGCGTCGGCTCTGGTGTCTGAGGACAGTCTTCTTTGTCCCGTCTGTCTGAGTGTGTTCACTAAACCTGTGTCGATTCCCTGTGGACACAACTTCTGTATGAACTGTATCACAGACTACTGGAGCACCCTGTCTGTACTCCAATGTCCACTGTGCAAAGAGACGTTTTACACCAGGCCGTTGCTTCGGGTTAACCCTGTCATTGATGAAATGGCAGAAAAGGTTAAAAAATCTCTTCAAGAAATGTTGTTGAGTTCAGCTGAACGAGCAGGACATGAAGACGTGCTCTGCAGCATCTGTGCAGGGTCAAAGGTCAAAGCCCTGAAGTCCTGTTTAATGTGTTTAGTGTCCTACTGTCAAACACATCTGGAGCCTCATCAGAGGATTTCAGCTTTGAAAACACAAGCTGATCGATCCAGTTCAGGACCTGGAGAGCAGAATATGTCGGGATCACGGTGAGCCTTTGGAGCTGATCTGCAGACTGGATCAAGTGTTTCTGTGTCGGTCCTGTAAATGCGGTGACCATAAAACACATGAAACAGTGAGTCTGGAGGATGAGGCTGAGATGAGGAAATCCCAGCTGAGATTAGAAAATAACAGCATGGATCAGATGATCCAGGAGCGTGAGCAGAAAATCCAGGAGCTTCAACAGTCAGTGAAGACCAGCAGAAGTAAAGCTGAGGAGGCGTTATCGTACAGCAGGAAGGTGATGACCGCTTTGGTGCAGCACATAAAGACAGAGTTCACCAGACTGTCTGAGGCGATCGAGACGAAGCAGGAAATAAATGAGACAGAGGCAGAAAGCTTTATTGATGAGCTGCAGGCAGAGATTACACACATGAAGAAGAAGAAGCTGCAGTTTCATGAAGCTTCGCTCATCAGAGACCCCTTCAGCTTCCTGGAGAACGTCCTCCCTCTTACCTACAATAAGCCCCAGCTGCAGGACTGGTCTGCTGTGACTGTAACCAGTGACCAGTTTATGATTCAGGAGACCCTGGCCGAGCTGGAGACAAAAGTCAGAGAAGAAGTCAGCATGCTGTGTAATATCAACTTCAGATGTGGGAAACAACAGAGGTATGATCTGAATGTTTTGATGACTTGATCCAGATACGGGTTCTCCTCGAAACACAGTGAGGTCACGCAATCAAAATCAGTCAGTCCCTTCATCTCGACACCCCTTTTTGTACATGAACTTTTGTTTATTTCATAAAAATAAAGAATAGTTTATCTCATATCTGAAAAATCAGTAGTAAACTTTATAAGTATTATACATGGGGTGGCTGTAGCTCAGGAGGTAAAGCAGGTCATCTACTGATCAGAAGGTTAGTGGTTCAATCCCTGGCTCCTCTAGTCTGCATGTCTAGTATCCTTGGGCAAGATACAAACCTCAAATTGTACTCCGATGCATCCATCAGAGTAAGATGTGTAGGAAGCTCTAAGACAGTGCTTGTGAGAATGGCTGTGATTGGGTGAATGTGGCATGTTGTATAGAGCACTTTGAGTACTCCGGGAGAGTAGAAAAGTGCTTTCAGTCCTTTCACCATAAAGAGGTATTACATAATAAAGGGACTGTAGAGAATTCTTGTGTTTGTCTGTTAGAGAAGGAGCTCCGCTGGCTGGTTATTAAATAGTGCAGAGGGTGGTCAGGTTTATGGACTGGTTCTTATACAGCGCTTTCTACTTGACCACTCTGCTTATACAACCCTTTTCACAAGCTTTGTTGTTTTTGCTACCTAAGTGCTCACTCTGATTGTAACATCGAAGAGCAACCTGCGGTTCAGCATCTTGCCCGAGGATGCTTTTGGAAGTCCAAATCCTTCTCAGAATTATAATCCAACACATCAATTAAAATCATGATGAGGAGGAGGAATAGAGTCAAATCCAAGTCCAACATGGACGATTTCCGGTGCTGCTGCTGAAATTTCCAACAGTGAACTCTGGAATCCTTTGAACTGCCCTTCTCGCAGGACACTGGAGACTGACCCAGAATGCCTCCAGACATCCCAGTTTACTTTTTAACTTTCAACTCCCCGCACCTCCCTCTCTCTTATATCTAGTCAAACAATCAGGTGTTTAAATAAGATTTACTGACCTTTAGCCCGTCCTTATTATCCTCTCCATCTCTAAGGCAAAGGTTATTCAGCTCACATTTCATTAGCACATTAACATGAGTCCTTTTAATCCAAATACTTTTCTCTTTAAAACTCAATACGTTCAATAAGGCCCCTTTTTTACTAAATCACACACTTTAAATGTTGCACATTCAGAGATGTGCTGTCTCATTCACACACACACGCTCAAAGTCACTCTCAAATAATTTTTACACAGGCTTTCAGCTTGCCTGAGTTAGACCTGCTGTAATTGCCCAACTTTCTGTGAATGGTACTCATGGACAATAATCAATGGTCATGGCAATCATAAACTGACCTCCCAGCCCATTGTTTCTTCAGCAGTGCTGGTTTCAGTCATTATGCAAATGTACTGTTTATAAGATTTGGGGAAAGCTTCAGTCAGCTGAGACTGAAGAAGTCACTTGGACGAGTGACGAAACGTTTCTGTCCAGATGAACAGAATCAATCTACGGGTGATAAATCCATATTTGAATATCAGTTTCTTTTTGAGAGTAGAAGATGACTGATCTCTAACTCAGTTCCTGTGACCTTAAATTGATTATTTATTGATTGATTCCTAACAGACGCAGAGGAGTTTTGATTTATTTTTTTTATCTGTTTATTTGAAGGTCAACCATGTTTTCGTATTTTATTCAATTTTATTATTGAAGCTTCCCTGTGATATACCTGTTCATTTATATTCCTTCTCACATGAATTATATACATTATTATTATTATTATTATTATTAAACTTAGTAAGACGTCTGGCTTCATCTGATTTCTGTATTTTGATCACATAAATGTTGAGTTTTGTCACCATACATGTTTGTGTCTTCAGGTTTTATCTCATTTAAACGTCATAGTGTTTGTAAAAGTAAAGTCTGAGCTGTACAGCAGCTGCATCAGTACAGATAACATGATAATCACAGACAGCAGTACTCATAAAGACTTCTGCATTCACTCTGCCCTCTGATTGAAACTCTGCTTTGGTGCAGGACGAGTAACGTCTCAAAATACAAGGACATCATCTCCAGAAGTGATCTGATCAGTTCAGGACCTCCTGCTGTCTACCAGCTGAGAGCAAAGAAACAGAAGTTTGGAACAAGAATGACTGTTGGAGAAAAAAGACAAGACAAGACAGACAGAACCATCTTACTTGTGGGAGAAACAGGAGCAGGAAAATCACACTGATCAACGCTCTGCTCAACTACACCATGGGAGTGAAGTGGAGGATAGAGTCTGGTTTATGATGCAGAGGAGGAGAGAAAAGTCAGACATCAGATGTGATGGTGTACGAGATCTTTGGGTTTGAAGATGAAACTCTGCCCTACTCTCTGACCATCATCGATACTCCTGGATATGGAGTCATCGAACACGGTGGCATCTTCAGTCACAGATTATTGAACTTGCTGGATGGAGTCCATGAAATTCATGCAGTGGGTCTGGTGATGAAGGCAACAGAGAATCGACTGAGTGATCGACTGATGTACGTCTTTGATTCAGTGATGTCTCTGTTTGGAAAAGATGTGGAGCAAAACATCATAGCGCTGATCACACACTCAGATGGAAGAAAACCTAAAAATGCTTTTAAAGCTCTTGAAGATGCAAAAATTAAATGTGCCAAAAATAAGAAGAATCAGTCTGTGTACTTCCTGTTTAATAACTGCCAGCTTGAAGACGAGGCAGAAAAATACCTGAAACTAAACTTTGAAAGCTCAGAGAGAGGAGTGAGAGGGTTCACAGCTTTCCTGAAAGAAAGTACACCTCTGCAGCCAGAAGTGACCCTGAAGTGTTAAAGGAAAGAATCAGACTGACAGCCTGCATCCAAAACCTGCAAGAAAGAATCAGATTCACTGAAGTGAAACAGAGAGAGATGAAACAGACTCGGGAAGCTCTGCAGAAGAATGAAGTGGTCACTCCATGTGTTGTTTTTAAACATAAAGAACCTATCAGATCAGAGATGTGTGGGGTGGGGGTTAAAGCAGCTGTCAGCTGTACAGTCTGTGAGGAGAACTGTCACTATCCTGGGCACGGTGCCCTTAAATCACTGTGAGGTCTTTAGAGATGGTCTCTGCACGTCATGTACCAACAAGTGTCCTGCATCAGTGCATGTGAAAGAAAAGTGGAGATATGTGACCAGGATAAGGAGCGGTCAGAAGAACAAAACACGAACAAAAAAGAAGGACGTTGATTTTCTTGAAAAGGAAATGAAACTGCTGACAGCAGAGAAGTCCCAGTTCCTGGATGAGTCCTACCAGCATGTAGTCAGACTGGAGCAGATCGCTCTGAAAGCTGATTCAGCGTCCACTATTGTCCACTTGGACTTCCTGATTGAGAAGATGAAGGAGAGAGGAGACACAGACAATGTCCAGAAACTGGAGGAGATGAGAAGGAGAGAGGATGAAGGAATTAGAGGAGCTCTGAGGTATGTCAAACTGACAGCACTCACAGAACAGTGACTGGAGTTTATAATTACTAAGTATAAACTAGGTGTTTAATTATCAGAGAAAGTGTACAGATCAATATCACTGCTGAAACACATCAGTGATAGTTTATCCTGGGTTTATTTCACTCTTAGTGTTCAAACAGTTTCTCTGCTCAGCGTGACACAGTCATAATAACTACATTTCTGTAATCAATGAAGAGCATGAGAAAAAACTGATTCCCATGGCTGGATTTGAATGTTAGGTATAGCAATCTATTTTTTCTCATAAAGAAACTGGAATCCATCAGTGTTTTGTGTGAGAACATGAAAACAAATACAATATAGAGAAATTGACATCTGGTTTAAAGGATGGAGAATTACACAAAACGTCTTATACTGAGGTAAAACTACAATGATGTGCAAAAAATCTTTAGTCCAGCATCTCATCCCCAAACTTTGATGGGCACTTCAAACTTTTCCAGCTGGGAACCATGGCCTCGGACTTGGAGGTGCTGCTCTTATCCCAGCCCCTTCACTAAAGACAGAGGGTTACAGCTGGAGGTTATTGTTCAGTCATGGACTATTTTTGTTAATAGAAAGATATTTAAAATAATTTTATATAGAGTCCAATCATAAACATAAATGTAAAATATAAATACCGTATTTTTTGGACCATAAGGCACACCGATTATAAGGTGCATTAAGCAAAACAAAACGGTCCGATAAGTCAAACTTCCCTCAACTCATTCTTCTCGCTTCCTCCACTTCTGTACCATTGATCCATTAATGTTGAATTCTCTGGCAGCTGCTCTATTCCCATGTTGTTGCAGTATATTAATGACTAACCTCATATTGTGGATGGATTATCTCAGTTGTTCTCCTGACTGAAGTTTGGTCCGTTTACAGCATCCCCTTAACCTTTATCGAGTGGAAAAAAGTTAGCGTTCATCCTCCAGCGCCACTGTGCTAATGTTATGCTAACATAGCTGTGTCGCTAGCGATCACGTAGCACATAAATTTATGTACCAGCTAGCCTAACTTCAGTAACCCTACAAATGTCACAGAAAGTGTTTAGTTTTCTGTCTTCATTTATGCTGGAAGTGATAGTGTTACACCTCTGAAAACAGGGAGTGATTTTGACTTGCTTCTCTCATGCAGTCGTTTATTGCAATCAAAATGAACATAAATGTTTCACATTCTGTACTGCTTAATGGCACGTGGTAGAAGGAAAAGCTAAATAATAATGTAACACAGTAAGGGGAATTGTTGAAAAGAATACATCAATGGGCCAATAGGCTCGACTATAGGAGCACAGGGGTGTGTTTAAATGAGACACAGAGACAAGATTTTAACTCAAAAGAACCAGACGACTTTAGTGAAATAAACCATAAGGTTGACAAGCACAGGTTAAAGACACTTTACAATGGTAGAAAGGAAACTTACAAAAATTAAAAGAAGAGTAAAACACATAAACTACTAAGCAATGACTTGGCCAAGTGTTACTTTTGGTTTTCAGTGTTGGGTTTCAATGTTCGGGTTTCAATGTATGGTTTCAAT